TTCACTCTGAGGGCTTCTAGTAATGTTGGAGAAGTGAGCATCAGCTGAGCAGAAGGGAGGGAGGGAAGGAAGCACAGGAGGTTTGAGGAGAGAGAGAGGAAGTATGAAATCGTTGTTTTAAACCTCCTGGGGAAATGTAGAAGAGTTGCCAGGCAGCCCACTTGAAGTCTGTGAATTTAAAGTGAAAGCCCAGCCAGGCTGGGCACTGTGGCTCATGCCTGTAATCCCAGCACTTTGAAGGCAATGACCACAGAGAGAGAGGATCATCTGAGGCCAGGAGTTCCAGACCAGCCTGGCCAACATGGTGAAACCCCATCTCTACTTAAAATATAAGAATTAAATGGGCATGGTTGTGGGCACCTATAATCCCAGCTACTCAGGAGGCTGAGGTGTGAGAATCACTTGAACCCAGGAGACAGAGGTTGCAGTGAGCTGAGAGTGTACCACTGCACTCCAGCGTGGGCGACAAGAGCAAAACTGTCTCAAAAAAAAAAAAAAAAAAAAAGTGAAAGTACAGCCAGACATGGTGACTCACACCTACAATCCCAGCACTTTGGTTGAGGTGAGGAGGATTGCTTGAGGCCAGGAGTTCAAGAGCAGCCTGGGCAACATGGTGAGACCTCATCTCTACAGAAAATTAGAAAATTATCTGGGTGTGGTGTGGTACACATCTGTGATCCCAGCTCCCAGGGAGGCTGAGGAGGGAGGATCGTTTGAACCCAGGAGATGGAGGCTGCAGTGAGCTCTGATCACACCACTGCACTCCAGCCTGGGCGACAGAGTGAGACCCTGTCACTAAAATAAATAAATAAGTAAATGAATAAATAGATGAATAAATAAAGTGAAAGTTCAGCTGAGTGCATGCTTTCTCAGTGAGACTTGACTGTCCAGGTGCAGATGCAAGAGATCCAGCCTGTTCATGTCACCCTCGCTCAGGGGAACAATGTCAGGAGACAAAGGAGTTGATTTTTTTTTCCTTCCTCTTTTTTTGAGACGGAGTCTCTCTCTGTTGCCCAGGCTAGAGTACAGTGGTGTGATCTCGGCTCACTGCAAACTTCACCTCCCAGATTCAAGCAATTCTCCTGCCTCAGCCTCCCTAGCAGCTGGGATTAGAGGCACCTGCCACCACACCCGGCTAATTTTTGTATTTTCGGTAGAGACAGGGGTTTCGCCATTTTGGGCAGGCTGGTCTCGAACTCCTGACCTCAAGTGATCCACCCACTTCGGCCTCCCAAAGTGCTGGGATTACAGGCGTGAACCACCTTGCCTTCCAGGAGTTGATTTTAATTATGAACCATGATTAAGGAAGGCAATGACCGCAGAGAGAATAGCAGTGAGGTGGGGAGGCCAAGTGGAGAGTTCTGGAATGAGAGGAGAGGTCAGCGGGGAGCTGTCCGAAGCCTCCTCTCTGGGTGATGGAGGGTCCCAGGTGTGACTGCAGACAGGGAGGGGTAGCTGAGAGGCACATTGGAAAAGATCACTGGAGCTACAGCAGTCCTGGTGCCCAGAGAGGTGGGGAGTAGCCTGGCCTGTCTACGTGGGTGATGACACCAACGTCTTGTATGAAATCACTGTTGCAGACCTCCTGGGGGAATGTAGAGGGGTTGCTGCTCTGCAAGATGGCAAGAAGGATGGAGAACACAGTCAACCAGGAGCCCAAGTCCTCAGTGGATGAGGAGGTGCAAGCGGAAGACCAGCAGACAGCAGTCACCGAGAGGGACAGCAAGTGACTCCGCTGCCTTTGAAAGAGAAAGGTCTTGGACACGACCACAGGAAGCATGGAGGATATAGACCCTACCTTAGATTCTACGGTATGTGGGGTATAGGAGAAAAAAGAGTCCCTGCACCAGACGGTGCCAGCGGAATTGGGATCCTGAGGGGCCAGCAGGGTTGGAGGGAGGGGACCCTCCTGCAAGAGGCTGAGTGAAAGCTCCGGAGCCAATGATGTCATCAGAGGAGCTGGAGCAGGATGTAGGGTGAGGAGGAGGGTCCAGTCATGTTAGGCAATACACAGATCTGGGGGGAGGGCCCATGGCACAGAGGCTGTGTCCTTTGAGGGTGAGTGAACCAACAGGGGAAAGTGAGGCATGATGAAAACAGCCGTGGATGGCCGGCTGTGGTGGCTCACGCCTGTAATCCCAGCACTTTGGGAGGCCGAGGTGAGAGGATCACTTGAGGACAAGAGTTTGAGACCAGCCTGGGTAATTAGTACAAAATTAGCCAGGCATGATGGTGCGCACCTGTAATCCCAGCTACTTGGGAGGCTGAGGCAGGAGAATCACTTGAACCCAGGAGGCAGAGGTTGCAGTGAGCCAAGATCGCGCCACTGCATTCCAGCCTGGGCAACAAGAGCGAAACTCCATTGGGAAGGGGAGCAGGGGGAGGGGAGGGGAGAAGGAAGGAAGGATTGAAAGAAAGATAGAAAGAAATAAGGGAGGGGGAGAGAGAGAGAGAAAAAAAAAGGAAGGAAGGAAGGAAAAGAAAGAAAAAGAGGAAGGAAGGAGGGAGGGAGGGAGGAAGGAAGGGAGGGAAGGAAGGAAGGAGAAAGAAAAAGAAAGAAAATAACCGTGGATGAAAGGGAGGAAGGGAGGAAGGAAGGAAGGAAAGAAAAAGGAAGGAAGGAAGGAAGGAAAAGAAAGAAAAAGAGAAAGGAAGGAAGGAGGGAAAGAGGGAGGAAGGAAGGAGGGAAAGAGGGAGGAAGGAAGGGAAGGAAGGAAGGGAAGGGAAGGAAGGGAAGGGGAGGGAAGGAAGGAAGGAAGGAAGGAAGGGAGGGAGGGAGGGGAGAGAGAAAGGAAGGAAGGAAGAAAATAACCGTGGATGACCTCAGACAGCCAGGTGACATTTCAAGCTGTGAGTTTGGAGAGTGTGGACGCTCCAGGCAACTGTGAGGTGACTGCTCCCC